GAAAGAAAGAAAGAAAGAAAGAAAGAAAGAAAGAAAGAAAGAAAGAAGAAAGAAAAAGACTAGGAAAAGAAGGATGCGTTATGTTATTGGTTCCATACAAGCATCGGGTGTTAAGAGAGATGCCACAAAATTCTTTGTAGTGTTGAATATTCTTCCTTCACTGATTGTCAATATTGAATGAGAGTTTTGGCAGGCAAATGTGTTTGACTACTCAAATACAAACCTAACAAGGTCAGGAGGACAGTCATGAAATCATAAGCTTAAAGTAGCAACTGGACCAAAATGAAGTTGATTTTAAGATGCCTTCTGAGGGTGCTGATGCTCTCTTGACTTATGTCTTCCAGGTGCTCTGGATCCCAGTCTTCTGGTGGCTCAACTCTCCAGTGGAAGCAAGGGCCATTATCTGGGAAGTCCAAACCTTCAATTCTCACGTTACAACAAACCCCTTTACCAGCTGCTGGGTGGCCAGGCAACTACCAGGCAGGTGGGAACAACCCCTCAAGGAGCTTACAGGTGAGCACATGATCCCATTCTCATCCCATGGATGTCTTCCTTCTTTAATTTCAGCCTACTTACACCAAAGACCTGGTTCAGTTCGTCCTTTGCAGCCTTCTCCAGTCAAACTAAACTGGCTCTCCCCAAAGGTCAATCTATCCACAGCTTCCAAGGAATCCATGTTCCTTGGAAGGAATCCATGCAGCTGTGTATGTTGAGATAAGCTCAGGATGTCAGACTGATAAGACTAGAGCAGCAAGCCCTATTGGAAAAAGGAAACATTGCCTTTCCTCTCACCCCTCACCCCAAATGCTATTTGTTCAACTTTGAACTAGCTCGCTTTAGTTCTAGTCTAAGACTAGAGGTATTTAGGCAGAATCCAGATCATCAACTCTGTAGGGTTGTCAATGAAGATTCTCCATCATCCAGGTTGAAATGGCTGGAAGTTGAGGCATGGCAGCTCGACTTATTTTTCTTGCTGGTTTGAGATGTTTTGCTGGCCATCCAAGCAGCTGGTACAGGAAACCCTAGAATTTTAGGATTTGGCACATTCCAATGACTCTCTGCCTACTCAGATTCCTCTAACCAACTTGTTCAGGCTGAAGAAGCTGCTTGGATGGCCAGCAAAGCATCTCAAACCAACAAGAAGGTAAGTCCAGTTGTCGTGACTCAACTTTCAGACAGTTCTCAGGGATGCTGCAGGTGCATAATTCTTCCACCGAGTGACCTGATGGATTAAATTCCCAAGATCACTTCCTATCTTAAAATGATATGGTTTGATGAATCAAAGACTATAAGTGGGCCTGTTTCCTTTCCATATGGCATAGACGTACATGTGGATTGATTGGCATTCACTGGGTATTTCTCCCAACAGCCTTGAAAACTGTGTCACCAAACTGGCAGAGATGGAACGCCGGGTGCGGGAAGCCATGGCTGAACGAGAACGATTGCTGCAAGAAAGGGTAAGAGGTTGAAAGGAGCAGACTCAGCTCCTGGACCATAGTCGAGTTTTTGTCATACATTCATCCATCTATCTATGGCAGTGGTGGCTAAACTTTTTAGGCTCCTGTGCCCAAAATTGTGTGCAAGCTTGCATGTGCGCACTCACATGCCAGCACCCAGAAGGCAATGCATGTGACCCCCATGCCCCCTGCGCATACATGTGCAATACCCCCCCCCCCGCTGCTCCCCCCACTGCCCCCTGACCTGCACTGTGCCTCACAGCTGATTTTCGGCCGGTTTGATGCCTTTTTCGGCCTCCCAGAGGCTTGAAAAAAGCCTCTGCAGGCTTTGCAGGATGAATAATAGGCCCGTTTCGTTACTTCCGGTATTACAGCCTCTGGGAGGCTGAAAAAGGCCTCAAACCAGCCGAAAATCAGCTGTGAGGTGCATGCATGTGCAGTGAGGTAAGTTTGCCTGTGGCTCGCATGCCGGCACAAATGGCTCTGCGTGCCACCTGTGGCACATGTGCCATAGGTTCGCCATTACCGATCTATGGAGATTCTCAATCATTCAGGTCAAAACCAAGAAAGTCTAATTGCCTTTGAAAAGCACCTTTCGG